TTGCAATTTAAAAAGCCACAGATGTAGGACATTAACCTCTAATTGGCATTTTAACCCGTGTGTGTCACCTTGTGTGTCTGTACCAAGGCCAAACATTCCAGGGGATGTAAACTTTTGATCAGGGCACTTTTGGGTGATTTCTGTTATCGTTATGATTTAAAAAGGAGCCAAACAACTATTTGATAATAAATGGCTTCATATGGTCATTATCCTTCAATAAAAGAGCATTTTTTGGCCAAAATTTCACAATTTCTGCCAGGGTATGTAAACTTATATATATATATATATATAATACTTCTATGTTTTTTAATATTTACTTTCTAAATTTTCTGTAATAATAAAATGTTTTTCTATAAACAAATCTACTGTATTTGTGTAGCAGACCATTCTTGGGTGCTATATTTAAAGTCCCTGTTTTTTTTTTTCCTCGAGAGTTAAAACATGTTTAGGGATGAAAGCACCTAAATTGTAAAACTGACCTGGCTGCATTTACACAGCCTCTACCACCCTCTGAAAAGTGATCCACAGTGTATTGCTTTTCCTAGGATGGTAGCGCAACGGCTGCCGGGCATTCAGGAAGCAATACTGCCACCTCCTGAATTTGTGCCTTTTTTTTGTCTGCTTGTTTATTTTATAAGGGATTTGATATTGAAAAGCCATTCCACAACCGCAATCCAAACAATTAGTATGTGGTTGTTGCAAAGTCCAATCAACCTCAATGGGTGGTTGACAGGCAATGCCGCAAACCAAGTTAAATTTGCTGTGACTGTGAAACAAAGCATTTAATGTATACTAGGAAAGTTAGGATTTAAATGATTAGACAGGGGTGTAAAACACAGATAAACTGCCTGCTTTTTACCCCAATTTGTCATGTGAAATGGTCCCAAAGCAGTAATACATAATTATTATCCACTGCTTATGCCAAGTGTGCCAAGATAATACCTTACTAGGCTTCAATCATTGTCAGGTAAAAAATGAAATCATTTTTATTCTGTGTGGTATTTGAGGAAACCTGGGGAAAGCCTGCAGGAATATGAAAGTGAGCAATCAGTATATATCATGGAAATGACACTGATGGGTTGATTTACTAAAACTGGAGTGTAAAATCTAGTGCAGCTCTGTATAGAAACCAGATTCCAGTTTTTTTTGGTCAAAGCTTAAAGAATAAGTTCATTTAAAATAAATAAATGCCCATTGTTTTGTAGGTAAAAAAAAATAAATGTGTATTTACTTTTTTTTTTTTGGAGCCTGGAAAGGTTCAGCAGATCGCTGGTCCCCTGCAAGACGCCTGCAAACCTGTCAGTGCATCTGTGCTCCCGTACAACCCGTAGAGGCAAGCAGATACAGTCTGAAAGAAAAGTCAATGAACTACCACAGCGCTCAACAGCGGGGAAATCAGGCACTGGCTGCTGCAGTGGGAACTATTACACGTTCCATCCTAAAATTGGGTTGAACATGTAACATATTCCCAAAGGTGAACCTTTCCTTTAACTGAATCAGCTGAAGTTAGAAGCCGATTGGCTACTATGCACAGTTGCACCAGATTTTGCACTTTCCAGTATTAGTAAATCAACGCCTTAAGCTGGCCTCAGATGGATCAAAATTCAGCCAGTTCAGCAGGCACCAGGCAGACTTTGAACCATGTATGGCCATTCCCGCTCAACAGAAGTTGATCTAAAAAAAAAAAAATGTTTCTCGATCGGCGGTTGCAGCCCCTGATCAGTGTATTCTGACAACAGAGGAGTCCTGCTGACAGAAAACAATGGCACAATGGGGAGGATTCCTCCATCCACCTCGTCTGGATGGATGAGTGAATTAATTTCTTTATTCTGATTAGCTGGCTGACTGATCGAAAAAAACAAAAAAAACAAAAAAAAAACCGAGTCATCTATAGCCAGCTTAATTAAACGAAGATTGAGATACAATAGGAGGATGCAGAGAGGTCATAATGTTTGTTTAATAAGTGTAGGAGGTAATGAATCGGTATTGTACACAGCCTTAGAAAACAAAAGCCTCAATGGCATAATGAAGAAAACTAGAACATGAGATACAAGTACTCCTCAACATGTTGAAAAAAATAAATAAAAATAAAAACCTGGATACATATGGAGTGTGTTTATTTTACACACATTATAAGTGTCAGGAGGTTGTCTAGCATTCATTATCACTAGATATAAAACATGCTGCATATAACGAGAAAAGAATTAATGGAGCATATGTCCTATGTTGCATAAGAGCATCCCCAGTAATTGTTCAAACTGTTCCTATGACAACTACACTGACGTCTTTTTTATCGCTGTTGAGATTCTATTCTAGGTAGACACACCTCAAATATTGTTTCTCACCCTTGGTGAAATAAATGTTGAAAAATAAAGAAATGGTGGAAAGTTGGCAATTGTCGGATTTCCTTTTAATCCCCTAACCCCAGATAAATGCTGCAATAACAAAAACGTATAAATAGAAGTGTTATACTATGGAAGGTACACCACTGCCCTCTACTGTCTATATTGTGTAATTACAACAGCAGGTCTAGCTGCAGCCAGATCGGCAAACATGAAAAACTGCTATAGGTACTGGATGTTTACCTCTGAAAATTGAAAGCAAAACTTCATCTTCGATCCCTTGCCATCATTTTCCTCCCTCCATGTTACTTTGTATTAAATATTTTTTGGGACGGCTAATTACTTTTTTTGAAGGACCCAGACTTGCTTTCGGCTTTCTTGATGAAGCCTCTTGGGATACTGTCACACATCCCAGGAGGCTTTAGGGCAATCTCTACTGTACTGTGCATGCACTGGATGAAAACAACTGCACTGAGCATGAACCACAAGCCGTCATCGGGGAGCTGGCTGAAAGAACCCAGAAGAGACAGCTAGCTCCCTAAAAAAGTCAGATAAGAAGATGGTGGCACAAGACCCGGAGCGCCGAGTTGGAGTGGCAGCTTACACCAGACAATGCTACATTTGCTGAGCCTGTGTGTACTAATTTTTTGTTGTGGAAGGCCCTGAGGAGAAGTTAAGGAAGTGAAAATAAATTTGTAAAAAGAACGGTGGGGAGGGCATGCTATAAATCCTGTAAGCAATCTTGTAAGCAGAGAGCAGGGACGGTGACAAGCCACGCTGTCTGTGTCCATGGACGCATGCAGCCCAGCTATGGATCAACCAGTGATTTAATCACCAGCAGGAAGATTTTTCACTTTTTGAAGAATTGCATTTATTTTTATGTTTTATCATATTTTGGGACTATCAGTCATTTTTTTATTTGTATATTTACATGTATTGATTCATGCTAGCAGCGCGACACTTTTATTTGTTTTAGTCTGTTTTTTATGTTTACACACAACACGTGTTTGCAGCAGATCATTTATTATTATTCTCATTATTTGGCAGCGCACGATTTTCTTTACATTGTAAGATAGACCAATGATCTAACTATGACATCAGGGTTTCCGAGACTGACAGCAACCAATCCACAACTGGTCTACTTGATCTGGGTAATAGTAAGCACCATGCTTCCTGCCTGTGTCTGGCCTTCCTGCATTGTAAATAGCTGAAGCTGCTTAAAGTGCCCTTGGATGGCCGCTGCCCTGCTTTGCCCTAACTTACCCACTGTATCAGTAGCCTGTCACCGGTCAGCTGGCCCAGCCACCTAATCAATACAAGGTGGCGGAGAGCAAGACCCTGGAGACTGTCACTGAGCAGAAGAGGATCATGCAGGAGATAAAAAGCACAGATTTGGCCTGCGTGGGGCCTACGCTGTGCTAAGATGGCAGGGAACGAAAGTTTCAGGTTGACCAATAATCAGATTTTCTCCTTTGTCCTTCTATACCGGGGAATCCTAATGACAAGACATCCGCATGCTGTCACTGTTATTGTTTACTCTTGTTACTGTTATGTTGGCTAAAGAACAATGTCCAAGGCCAGTGTTTCTCAACCTATTTTCAGTCAAGGCACCCTTTAAAAGTATGGAGAGGTCCCGAGGCACCCTTTAAAGGTATGGACAGTCCCGAGGCACCCTTTAAAGGTATGGACAGTCCCGAGGCACCCTTTAAAGGTATGGACAGTCCCGAGGCACCCTTCAAAAGTATGGACAGTCCCGAGGCAACCTTTAAAATTATGGACAGTCCCGAGGCACCCCATTCTAAAAACCAATTCCCACTGCTGTCTCAGGCAATGAGGAGGCAGAGTCCCCATACAGCCGAGGCTATTGTGAACATTGCTGGATAGGAGGGGGGTCGGGAAAGGATTGGGGGGGGCAGGAAAGGATTGGTGGGGGGGGGGGGGGAGAGCGCTGCACACAAAAGGCTTTTTGCCTTCATACATAGAATGTATGAAGGTAAGAAACCTTGAGCCTTTACAACCACTAATTTTTCGGAACACCCACACAAGCCTAAAGCAAGTTTCTTATTCGATTTCCTTTAGATTTACCTTCAGCTATGTAGTACAAGGGCCTGCCTGACTGCATACAAATTGAAAGTGTTAGGGCTTGATGTCATATTATATGGTTTTGGTACATCTTAAGGATGGGTTTTATAGTAATGGGGGACAAAGAGGTCAATACACTTCACATCTTGGGTTTCCAAACCAACATATTCTGATGTGATCTAGAAGAGGCATTATTTAATGTTTTGTATTCCAAAAACAATGTCTTCAAATAAGCACGGCTTATTTTATCAATGACACGGAAAACTGGAAAGTTGCATTCTGGAAATGTGTACAATATGATATAAAAACAGCTGTAACTGACACCACAGTAGTTTGCATTTATTCCTAGAAAGAAAGTATATTGTGCTCATTTGAAGCCATACTTCATGGGTGCAGTTTTGAATAATAAAGACACCAGTTTTAAAGCAGAGACGCTGGTTTTAAAAATGGAAATGATACTTTATGCTGATGAAAGTTACTTGACTTTGTGATGATGGGATTGGAGTTTCATGCTGCAACTAAACACACATTGAAAACTATGATAAGGGGAACACCTAGAAGTATTACGCTGCTTACCTCTGGGATCAATAGGAATATTGTAAGTGTCCCCAAGAACTATTGGCAGTGTAAGAGAGCAAGAAAAGAAAAAAGGAGCAGGAGGGAGACAAAGGGCCAAAACAACAAGAGGAGGAACAGAATATCAGTTTACTTCAGTTAAAGGAGAATATTAAAGATACAAAGCAAAAATTACAAAAGTAGATAAAGTCAGTAGAATTCAGAGGGAAATGAGTGGAGGAAAGCACCAGAAATGTAGGAGAAAGTGATTACAAAAATAAAAAAGTAAAAAACAAAATAGAAATGAAGAGAAGACAGGACAGACACAGATATAAAAGTCTAAGAGTTGGCACAGACAGGCAGATGTCTCCTCGAGAGTGAAAGATGTGAGGACCTCTGCCTATGCTATGTAGTGCTGAGACCCACTGCCCCCTCTCTCCTGTGACACACTCAGCAGGCTGAAGTGCAATACAGGCTGTACAGAGATTATCCAGAAAAATGAAAAATCATGGTGTCTGATCACAAACACTTCCAATGGATGAAATGGCTTGCTACTGCCCCATAGGATAGCCCTTAATAGACAGATCTTCATTTGAGCATTCCTTAAAGTGAACTTGAGCCCAGACTATAAACACTCAAGTATTTACATTTTCTGAATAAGCGATAAACACACTTTAAGTCCTCATTCATCTCTGTAACTACAGGCATTTTGAAGAAAGTTGTCTTCAATGTTCACAACAGAGGCATGGAAATCTTAGCTGGTTTTCTATTACTTTCATCTCAAGTTTTCTAGTCTATCTGTATCCCCTCAGCACCAGCCACACTATCTGTATTGAGGATGCCGCTTTGCCCTTGAAGGGCCCTACTAAGCCATCCTTGCGTTCATGCTCCCAGCTCTCACCTAGAGATGCTGCATGCTTCCATGGAAAGATAGCCAGGCAGCAAGCCACTCTCCTGCTTCCCCTTCAAAACAGTGCATAACAAGTGCTAAGAACATATGTCCCCCTGCCTGGAAGTTCAGAGAAGCACCATTCTGAGACCATAAGCCAGCAGCAGTGCCGCTTCTGCTGCAGAAAAAAATCCCAAGCATCTCAGCCCTGTCTGCATTTTCCCTCCTGCAGTACAGAACTTTACCCATCCCCCACATCTCTGTCCCTCTCCTCTTGCATCCATTGACTTCTTACCTAGCAAAACAATGCTGCTACCTTGACTCCTTTGAACCTACCCACACACTACATGTAGGAATATAGCTCTTGGGAGCTGTAGTTCTGGGGGGCATGTACACATCAATAAGAACTGACCTAGGGCACCCTACTGATCCCTTCCCTCAGCAGTTGCCCCCTGCTAGAATTTTACAGGCTGGGTAATGCAATAAAGCCATTACATGCTACAGGAACAACATAAAAGACTAAAATAGTGCTGTGATATACTTTAGAAGGTAGAAGGTGAGAGAAAGGTTTTGGGGTAAATCTGAATCATGCCTATACATATTCTTTAAATAATGCACACAAAGACAAGACATGGTATGGCAAGCTACAGCTGTGGAACCAGGTTTCAGTTAGAATTCATTCAAATAAAAATATGACAAGAAAACTGACAACGCAAAAAAAGAAGACAGTTGTATGGGGTTTTGAAATAAAATGGACCTAAATATGTGAACTAGCTGGTGGAATTCTGGGGAGTTGCATAAATAAAGGACTGTAGAAGTGACAGATTACCTTGTGAGGCCAGCATGGCTCCTGCTGTCTCCTGGAACTCAAGTAACTGTTGTAGGAAAAGGATGGCCTGTGTGGAGAACACAATTGCTGGATTACTACATTTTTAAAATGGCACAATTAAACCTGGCAATGGAAAGCAAGAAGCTGTCAGCTGCATACAAGAGCACATAGCAAGGTTAACTGGCCAAATATCTATTGCAGATCATGGAGAATACTTACATTACTGGTCAATTCGTGCACCGTACCATCTTTGGACATGCTGTTCTCCTTATCAGGATCATTCTGTGAAAAGAAAATTAGGTTTTAACCCACATGTACTTCCAAAACCATATCATCTGCTTTCATATGCTGCTTATAAGGTGGACATTAGTTTTAAGAGATATGAACATACAATCCAGTCTAGATATTAGATGTGTACCTGCAGACTAATGCTATGGATCCTCTAGTACAGCGGTTCTCAACCTGTGGGTCGCAACCCCTTTGGGGGTCGAACAACCCTTTCACAGGGGTCTCCTAAGACCATCGGAAAACACATATTTCCGATGGTCATAGGAACCGAGACACCGCTCCTCTATCAGTCTCCAGGCGGGTCCGCCCACATGCAGATACGTCCACATTTCCCTGGACCGCGATGTGTGCACGGGATGACATGCCACCCCTGTCACCTGGCCCCATTCCCGGGATCACTCAACAGCTCCGCCTCCTCGCTAGCGATTGGCCGCCGGAACTGTAGTTCAGGAGAGGCACAAAGGCGGAGGTAGAGCTTGGAGAGGAGGAGCCGAGCAGCAGCGCGAAGATCAAAGAAGATCGAGTGAGGGAGCGGCTGGAGAAGGAAGACAGCTGACAGGTAAGTGTCTGTAGCGTGCAGATGGTGCTGCTGCAGCCAGGTATGCTGGCTGTAGATGGGAGAGGGAGGGAGCGAGCCCAGGCTGGAGCAGGAGTCAGCAAGGTAAGTATCATTGGTGTCAGTGGGAGGAATAGTGGCCCATCATTGGTGTCACTAATACCAATGATGGGGCACTATTCCTCCCACTGACACCAATGATGAGGCACTATTTCCTCCCCCCCCCCCACTGACACCAACGATGGGGAACTATTCCACCCCCCACTGACACCAACGATGGGGCACTATCCCCCCCCACTGATACCAATGATGGGGCACAATTCCCCCCCACACTAGTATTAATGATGGAGCACTATCCCCCCCCCCCCCACTGACACCAATGATGGGGCACTATTCCTCCCACTGATACCAATGATGGGACACTATTCCTCCCACTGATACCAATGATGGGACACTATTCCTCCCACTGACACCAATGATGGGGCACTATTCCTCCCACTGACACCAATGATGGGGCACTATTCCTCCCACTGACACCAATGATGGGGCACTATTCCTCCCACTGATACCAATGATGGGGACACTATCCTCCCACTGACACCAATGATGGGGCACTATTCCTCCCACTGATACCAATGATGGGACACTATTCCCCCACTGATACCAACGATGGGACACTATTCCTCCCACTGACACCAGTGACGTGGCACTACTCCTCTCACTGCAAAATTACAGTTATGAAGTAGCAACAAAAATTATTTTATGGTTGGGGGTCACCACAACATGAGGAACTGTATTAAAGGGTCGCGGCATTAGGAAGGTTGAGAACCACTGATCTAGTGGTTCCCACTGTTAACTGTTCTGACCTCAACTTCTGTCCAAATAATATTGTCTAATACACTGACAGCAACACTGCAGGAGCAGTGAGGGAGTGCAATCAATAGGAACTTCACGTCAGGTTCCAGGACTGCATACAAATGTACACATAGAGTATCCTAAACCAAGCTTTTTCACTTTCATCTAGAAAGTGACCAGTCAATGAGCATACACTTTGCTCTTGGCTAACAAATGCCTCCATCAACCAAACACCTGTTTGCAATGAGCCACTGAGCAGTTCAAAGGCTTCTTGTATTTTTTCCAGTAAAGTGCATTGTGATTTCAAAAACTCAGATACCATGGGCAGCACAGTGGCTAAATGGTTAGCACTTCCGCCTGACAGTACTAGGGTCGTTGGTTCGAATCACAAACACGGCACCACCTGCCTGGAGTTTGCATGTTCTCCCTGTGCCTGCGTGGGTTTCCTCCGGGTACTCCGGTTTCCTCCCACATTTTAAAGACATGCTGGTAGGTTAATAGGATCATGTCTAAATTGGCCCTAGTATGTGTATGTATGAATTTAAGTTAGGGACCTTAGATTGTACACCCCTTGTGGGTTAGTGACTGATGTGAATGTACAATATATCTATGTAAAAGCGCTGTGTAAATTGACGGCGCTATATAAGTACCTGAAATAAAATAAAAACCTTCACCTGGTATGTTAGTCAGCTAGAATGTAAAATATCTCTTTAAAATATTAGGCTTCATGCACACTGGGTGTTTAGCCCCAGCGCATGAGGCTCTGGTGTAGAGCTGCGGCTGAAGGACACAGGTGCACTGCCCAGCCCGCCCTACTGCCAGCAGCCTGTCAAACCCTATGAGAGTCTAACAGTTGCTGCAGCTGGCTAGTGCACTTGTGCAGTCCAACTATTGATTTATTTATGGTACTTCTATAGCGTCAATTTACGCAGCGCTTTACACGCACGCACGCACACACACACACATGTGTGTGTAAAGCGCTGTGTAAATTGATGGCGCTATAGAAGTTTATATATATATATATATATATATATATATATATATATATATATATTGTACATTCACATCAGTCCCTAACCCTCAAGAGGTGTACAATCTAAGGTCCCTAACTCACATTCATACATACACATACTATGGACAATTTAGACAGGATCCAATTAATCTACCTGCATGTCTTTGGAGTGTGGGAGGAAACCGGAGAACCCGGAGGAAACCCACGCAGGCACAGGGAGAACATGCAAACTCCAGGCAGGTGGTTGCCGTGGTTGGGATTCGAACCAACGACCCTAGTACTGCCAGGCGGAAGTGCTAACCACTAAGCCACTGTGCCGCCTACAGCTATAAGTCAAAGCCTCATTGCACTGGGGTCAAACGACCAGTGTGAATGAAGCCTTAGCATTACCTGGTGGTCTATGGGTAACTAAGTGTTAAAACCTGAATCAACAGTTTTTAGTCAAATGGAACCAAACCTCACCTTACCTTAATACTGTCTGCAAAATCTTCTAGAGCTTTGGCTCCTGTTGTCTCTATAGAGTTTATAAGATTTGGAAGTTTGTTCTTGGTGCTAGCAGCCGTACCCTAAACAGTAAAAAGAAACAGGAATACCATATAAAATGTATATTTAGGAAATATAAATAAATAGCAGTTTATAGTATTCATGTACATTTATTTAGAATCCTGCATTACATAAAAGCTAAGTAAAATCAAAGAAATAGTCAGTCGGACATTGTATGAACAACCTGTATATGCATTGTTTTATTTCCACTTTCTTCTTACAGAGGTTGGGCATGGTGTCTAAATGAGACTGCGCAGTCCAATAGGCAGTGAGCACCTAAGTTTGACCCAGTGCGCTCAGCACTCATTGAACATGTCCGTAGACAGATAGTCCCTCCCTAAACCAGGACGCTGTATTTTGACAGCGGCTCCTGGTGTTGTCGGAATACACTGAGCAGCGGCTGCAGCCACTGAGTGAGTAAGATGTTTCAACATTCTCCTTTGACAGACGTTAATGAAGAGATTGACTTCAGTCGAGCTGAGACAGCCACACATTGATCGAAATTCGGCTGGTGCCTACTGAACCAGCTGAATTTCGATCTATCAATAGCCAGCTTTACATAGCTGGTCAGACAAAGGCCATCTTTTCTGCAACAAAATTCTGTGTGGGGAAGCTTATAATGAAAGGTGTGACTGCTACTGTTGCTTTTAATACACTGCTCATAAAAATTAAAAGAAGACTTTTTAATCAGAGTATAGCATCAAGTCAATGAAACTCCTGGGATATTGATCTGGTGAGTTAAGTAGCAGAGGGGGTTGTTAGTCAGTTTCAGCTGCTTTGGTGTTAATGAAATTAACAGATAGAGAGAAAACAGATGGCGCACACACCTAGTGCATTATCCAAGGTTTATTGTAGGAGTGAAAGAATAATAAAGACACTCACAGACAAAGCATGTATCTAAAAAGCATAGAAAAATGACAATGGCCACAATGGCAGGCAAGGTGTTCTCACTGTCAGTGCAGTCAAATGGCTGACGCATTTCGGGGACGAATCCCTTTCCTCAGAGCTGATGACCAGCCTCTGATGCAGATGTATGATGTATGAGAACACCTTGTCTGCCGTTGTGGCCATTGTCATTTTTCTATGCTTTTTAGATACATGCTTCGTCTGTGAGTATGTTTTTATTATTCTTTCACTCCTACAATAAACCTTGGATAATGCACTAGTTGTGTGCGCCACCTGTTTTCTCTCTATCCAGTGGCTGATTTCCCCCGTCTGAGGAGGGCTGCACCCCTGAAGCATTTCCTTTGGTTGTTGCTGTCCTGGTACCCTTGGCTTCCCTTTTGGCTGTGCATATCCTGAGGCGCTGGAGAGTACATACGATATTAATAAAATTAACAACAGGTGCACTAGATGGGCAACAATGAGATGACCCCCAAAACAGGAAAGGTTTTACAGGTGGAGGCCACTGCCATTTTTTCCTTACTCATCTTTTCTGACTGTTTTTCATTAGTTTTGCATTTGGCTAGAGTCCTGTTATATCTACAGGAATGGAAATTCTCCACCCAATGGGCCACAGATGTTAAAAAAAAATACAAAACTTAACAAGGGTTTTAACTATCCCCAACTCTATTCAATCAAAAAAAATTGGTTAGGGATTAACCTTAAAGCATAACAAAGGAGAAACTTTTTTATACCAATCCAGAAGGCTAGTTCGTGTAAAGGGGAAAGAATCACCACTGCTCCCGACCAGCCCAGGTGAATATAGGATAAAGAGTGTCCTCAACCTACATGTCTCCACCAAACCACACACCCTGACGCATTTACCCTGCCCACTGGTAAGAGGGGCGAAATGCCTTAGGTTGTTTGGTTTGGTGGAGACATGTATGGTTATAACCCCTGTCAGTTTTTTTGAGGGAAATTCCTGCTTGCCACCAAAAGTAATGTCCCCATTGGAAGATTTACCCTCTATTTCTGTTCTGGTGACAACTCAAAATTCAGGATTTTCTTTCATTTTCACTCTCGGTGACATAGACCACGGGGACAAATAGAGTAAATCTTCCTGATGAGGTCACAGATGGCAAGAAAACCCTGACAGGTGTTCTAATCCCTCTCTACTCTATCTAAAAAGCTTTGGCTTTAGTTCTACTTTAACCCCTTGCCCTCCAGGGGATTTACCCCCCCCCCCTTCCTGACCAGGCCATTTTTTGCGTTACAGCACTGCGTTATTTTAACTGACAATTGCGCAGTCATGCAATGCTGCACCCAACTAAAATGTATGTCCTTTTTTTCCCACAAAAAGAGCTTTCTTTCGGTGGTATTTGATCGCTTGTGCATTTAAAGAAAAAAAAAAAAGACCGACAATTTTGAGCAAAAACAATATTTTTTAATTTTTGCCATTAAACATGTCCAGTAAAAAAATTTTAAAAATCAAATTTCATCATAAATTTAGGGAAAATGTATTCTGCTATGTTTTTGCTAAACAAAAAATACCAATACGTGTAAATTAATTGGTTTACGTGAAAGTTATAGTGTTTACAAATGGCGGTATATATACTGGAATTTTTTTTTTTTCTTTTACTAGTAATGGCGGCGATCAACGACTTATAGCCGGACTGCAGCATGCATTCTGACATGGGGGGAACTGACATCCCTAGTGACACCAATACACTGATCAGTGCTAATAAAAATAACTGACACTGTACTAATGGCAATGGACAGGTAGGGGTTAACCTGTGGGGCGATCAAAGGGTTAACTGTGTGCTGTTTCATAGTAAGCTGTGCGTGTTCTTTCAACTGTAAGCACACTGCTTTGTATGGCTGTTATGCTGAGCCATACAAAGCAGTGTGCAGGAGCTGCCAGGGGAGAGAATTGTATTGTTTACATACAGTTCTCTCCCCCATCGGTAATACTTGGCGATCACCGGGTGCCGACGAGTAATCACCAGCCGGGACCCGGTGATTGTCAGCCGAGGCTGCGAATAGCGGAGCGGGTAGGGCGCACATGCCCCCTACCCAGAAATGCAAAATCACGTATATATACACACATGATTTTGTGCACCCCTGTCGCCCTGTAGCAGTATTTCTGCAATAGGTGGCAAGGAAAGCGGTTAATGGCTCAGGCCCATTTTCTCAAAAGAGCATGAACCCACCTGCAAAACTTTGTCGAACTCAGGCTTGAGGAGCTTCAGGTGCCTTAATATAGGGAAGATGCTCAAAACAGAGGTGAAGTCATGCCTGGAGTTAGCTTTCTTTGCAGCTAAGACAATGTTTTCTCCCTCCAGCATGAGGTTATCCAGGGTCTCCTGATGGAAAATAAAAGTAGAATTAATTATATTTTATCGGTGAGATAAGCAGAACTGGTATACTGTCAGTTGTCATTCTACAGTAACAACCAACCTGGATGAGAGAATCAAAAGTCTTCTTTTGATGATGTTCAGGGATGATGTCCATAAGTAGCTGGTATTCACTCTGTGCAAGTCGCACAAAAGCACTGATACAGTACATGTAAGTATCAATCTCAAGATCAAGTACATCTTCCTTCCCTAGGACAGCAAGAAAGGAGATCTCATAGAAAAGGTTATATTATGAGCATCTACTCTCTAAATCTGCCCTTCTTAACCAGGGTTCTATGGAACTCTTTGGTTCCTCTAGAGGTTGCTAAGGGTTCTTTGAGCATTTATCAGTTTCTGCCTCCCAGATAAGTAATCAATGACAATGATTTTTTTTTTTTTGCCATCTCTAAAACGAAAACCTTCACAATGACCAAAACTCTAGGAGCATTCTTTCCGGTGACCATCACACTAAAGTACACTGAGCTGTAGATATAGTAATATTGATGGGGGTCCCTGAGACTGGAATGTTATTTAAAGGATTCTTTTATGTAAAAAAGGTTGAGAAAGGCTGCACTAGATATTGTCTAGTTTAACAAACCTTGTACATGGTGGGACATCATGGTAGCAAGGGAGGTAGCACTCTTGGGTGGAGGTAGTGGCTTCTGAATTTAATGTCCACCATAAATATTGCTGTCAATTGGAGCATCACAGTGACAAGGGGGTTAGGACTCTTGTTTTGCAGTACAGGGTTCTGAATTTAATTTCCACTATAAACGCTATCTGTGTTCACAGGTTCCTAATTCATGTGTATTCAAATACTTTAGATCAGTGGTTCTCAACCACCGGGCCATGGCCCACTGCAGGGCTGCAACCTCCCTCCTTCCAAGCCTCAGGGACCAGAGAAGGCAAAATATAAGCAGATTAAACTTTAAAATGATTCTAAAGGTTGTAATTAAAAAAAAAAAAATAACAAACATGTTCCACTTACCTTCTCTGTGCAATGATATTTCACAGAGCAGCCCCAAACCTCTTCTTTGGGTCCCCTGCTGGTGATCCTGGCTCCTCCCCCCTCTGAGTGCCCCAATAGCAAGCCTCTTGCTATGAGGGCATTTAAGCAGGCTCGCTCCCAAGCCACGTTACTGTGAATGGATACTGTCTATTCGGCTGCCTCCACCCTCTGATCTCTCCTCATTGACTCACTGGCTGAGAATGACAGCAGCAGGAGTCAATGGCTCCCGCTGCTGTGTGAGCCAATGAGGAAAGAGACCCATGAGAGCTGCGGCTCTCATGCACATCACTGGATTGAGATGGGCTCGAGTAAGTATACGGGGGGGGGGGGGGGGCTGGGGGGATGATGCACCCAGAAGTTTTTTTTACCTTAATGCATAGAATGCATGTGAATCCTGGGTTTAGTAATACTTTTGTTTTACTAAACTCAGGACCCTGCATTCACTATATATGGTCTCCCACAGTACACAGAACATAGAAGTGCAATTATTAATATAGTAAATATAAACTGCTAAATGCCTTTTCTCATCAGCAATTAGAACAGTCTTGTGACTTCTATCAATATCCAGCAGAGCACTGGTTAAAGCTTGTAGGAGGAGTTTTCCTTTCTGCTCTAGAAGAATGCAAAACCCCTGACTTCTGTCTGGACAGTGCTGATTGGCCCTGTGCTGATCACATGCACGCTCCCAAGAAAAAAAAAAAACTCTCTAGCAATACACACTAAACTGAGCATGTGCAGAATGGCTACGGGTTCAGTCTGTCTTATCAGGAGATAAGACATGGACATTGGAACAAGAGGAGGAGCAGAAAAGACAGGATCAAACTGCCTTTTTACACAATGGAGGATTAACCCCTTAGGTTCCACAGTGAGTATAACAAGCATGCTTTACTGCATGTACAGAATGATTTTACTGTTGTGGGTTTAGGAACACTTTAAGGTAAAAAACCTTCTGCCTTTAGAACCACTTTAAGCTTGATGTCTACATCAATTATGTATCTTTTAAATGTGCTGTTCATAGCCTTCTCCCATTTTGTAACATAAGAGAGGGCATTCCTCCCTTCAACTTTTTATCAGGAAGTATTACTAAACAAAATGACCCCAGAGGATTGCAGGCTGCCAAAGCACACACTTACCTTGCCCCTGTCATTCATCTGTCAAATGCCTGAGCCTCTACTTTCCACTGATTGACAAAGGGTGGGCTTAATGCCAGGTGAAGGTAGAGCTTCGCTGACCTAGAAAGATGCCAGGCCCTTTCGTACAGAATGGGCCTAGAATTCAAGGGTACAAGGCTGATTGGAAGCCCAACACAGGTAGTAGTAGTTACCACCTCAGCAGTTTTTAGTCCTGGACAGGTTCACTTTAAGAAGACCCAACTCATATAGTACAGTGTAGAATGCTCATTTAAAAGGCAACCCCGCAATCTGATGAACCAGTACTCACCTAAAGGTGTCCCGTGTTTTTCTCCCATTGTTTCTCCATGGAGCCTGCTACGTGAATCTTGTTCATGACCTGATCAGTGTGGAGGGTAGGTATACTGTTATCCAGTAAGTTACACAGAGGCCTGGGCCACGCAGAGTGGCAGTCCGGTGTCCAAAGAAAAGGGAGAGGCGTGGCACGGGAGTAATTACAGGTCCCTTCACAGAAAGTTACCAAGTACCATGCAGGCTATAGTCTTCTTTCTGTCATTATGCGTTTTTGTTCACATTGTCGAAGACATGTCATACTAATAAAGCTGAACTCCAGGCAAATAAATAAATGGTTGAAATAAATTGCTCTGATACACAGTACAATCAGGCTTGTGACCTTACTTTTCTTTTCTCCAATTAAGCAGCAAAGTTTGGACATCACCCTGCCCCCAGCCTGTGAAAGGACAGTGACTGAGAATCCGCATTTTATCCCTCTGTCCCATTCCTCCTGTCAACATATTCCTGGTCAGCAAATCTGCATGCTGCACACTGATTGTCCCCCTGGCGCTGCCCCTCCCTCCCTGAGATCTGCTGTATAGGTGGGTAGCAACTCAAATTAATGCAGGCCATACATAGTTTGAATTCTGAACGATTTTTCATCCAAAAATCGAAAACATCATTCGCTCGGTAATCCGATGGTGCCATCAATGATTTTGAAAATTGTCCGAACAAGTCATAAAGTTCACCCCATATAACAGGCAAAACTTCTGTTCCTTCCAGGTCACAGCTCATGCGCATATTCTTTTCGGAAAAACGATCGTACGATTTGACCATTATTGAAAATCGGTAATTTTTCACGAATTTTCCAATATGCCCCATCACCGAAAAGGGGAGGAACCACGAAAATCGGTCGGTGCCAATGACCCACTAACAGAGCAAAAATTGGTTGATTACTCTTAGGTCTGATTTTCAGACGAAAAATCGGTCGAATTTCGACCCATGTATGGCCGGCCTTAGGTACTGATAATTGCTACATTTGAAAATACATTTAATTTTCTTTAAAGTGACATCAACTATTAGCTTCCCCTGACAATTCTGTCATACAAAACATTATATGTTTTTTAAGCAGAGGCCCTAGAGAAGACAATGTTGGATGTTGCGGTTTTTTTTATGTCACACAGTAGCTGTGGAGAATTTGTTCAAAACACTATTTTAAAAAAAAAAAAATACACTTAAATGAATTTTAGCAAAAGCAAACAAAATAGAATACCAAATTTTGTCAAAATATAAAAGATGATGTTTTGCAGAGTAAATAGATACCAAACACGTCACAATTTAAAATTGCGCACGCCCTTGGAACAGCGACAAACAATGGTACTTTATATTAACCATAGGAGAGGCTTTAAAAGCCTTTAAAGGTTTCCAGTTTAGAGCTGCACAGGAGGTCTAGCCCTACAATTATTCCTTCCTACTCTGATGCTCATGGCAATATCTCACATGTGTGGTGCGAACGCCGCTTACATATGCGCGCGTTACTGATGCGTGCCTGTAAGTGAGCAAAGGGGAGCTTGAATTTTTTTTCAATTTTAGTATGCATTTCATTTTATTTTATTATTTTTTCACTGTACCTTTCATTATTTTTTTGATCAATTTTATTGCTATAACAAAGGATGAGCAACATCCCTTGTAATAGCATGGGCCGTGACAGGTCTTCTTTATGGAGAGATCTGGGGTCTATTAGACCCCAGATATCTCCTGCAGCCCCAAAGCAGCAGATATGACCAAGATTGGTATGATCTTCAGCTTCACAAGCTGGCAACTGCTTGCAAATAAACAAACCAAATCTGGAAGTGACAAAA